CAACAGGCTAAGCTGGAATTTGAACTCTTCCATGCTGATTCCATTTTCAAGGCAAACAATCACAACACTATTTTCCTGTCCTTCATCTTGATACCCAATTTAATTAAGCAGGCTATATTATAATTACTTATAATACTTAAGTATTACAGATTTGCTTATAAATATTGTATGTAATCTGATGGACTAGATGAAATTTGATCAATAAAATAATTCATATGATTAGATATACTATTGTCACAGAGAAGGAAAGACTGAAAAAGGATTTTCTTAATTAAACATTTATAATGAAACAAAATCAAATTGGCTTGGAGATCAATTTCTTTATTGGTGAGGCACCACTTTTTCATTTTGACTTTGTATTGAACATTAAAATAAAGAAAATTACTGTAAAAAAGTGTTTAATTTGGATAACTTCCAGGAAGCTCAAACTAATCAAATTAGTACATTTTAAAGTATATAGACTTTGGATTATAAAGTATAGTTATTTAAAACTATTTAGATTATAATGTATATAAACAATTATGCAAAATGCTATTTACTTTAAATTTAAAGAAAACAGACCAGAAATGTTTTAAATGCACTAACAAAGAAATTTTAACTTTTCATTAAAATATGATTATAGCAAAAATATATTTAAATGACGAGTATGGCTTTGTAAAGTAATTGTCTACCAACTGGATTCAGTTTTGAAGAGTCCAAAGATGTCATGACATTATTTACTGCTGGCTGAGTGAGAGTAAGAAAGGATGGTTTTTACTCAATGATGATTTTACTTTCAAAATTATTGCTTATTGAGTAATGATTGAGTTGCTTAACCGTGGAGATCAAACTTAACCAATATCCTGCCTCAAATCTAGCAAAACTATATGAAATTGTTGCTGCTGTTAGCAGGTATTTTTGTGGAGGGTAGAATTTATTAAACTAAGATTTTCTCTGAATAGCTATGTTCTGTATACATGATCTGAAATGAATCCATTCCAATGATGTATGTATACTGGGTTAAATTCACTAAATTCTTTACTACACATGGAATTTACAAAAAGGAATTCTTGAATTTATGTTGATAGAAAGTTTTATTTTCTAAAAATAAAATTGTTAATTTGAAAACAATTTTGATGTTTCTTTTTCTTTTTAAAATCTTTCTTTCACTAGAAGTCTTTACAAAATAGAAGGTGAGTCTCTCCATAAAATCAACAGCCAAAAATCAAGAGAGATGCAAGAATTGTTCTTTAAGCAAATAAGAATTTGTTGGTACAAAAGGAACATTTTTTTTTATTACAACTCTACAAGTAGAATTCAGTAGAATCAGCATTTTAGTTTTTGTTCTTGATTGTATCCTATAAATACAACCTAACTTGCATTGTCAAAAGAGAAAAAGAATCACATTATATAATCCAAATCTTTCCAACCTTGGCAATGAATGTCAAAAATGTTTTATGATACAAATTTTGTTAGCCAAGCTATAAACAAAGATTTTTCCAAAATCAAACACACTATAACTACCAAAAGGCAAAATCACCAGAAAAAATATTTTTAAGATTTATTATTTCCTATAAAAAATTTAAAACTAGCGATATAATAAAGATATTTCACCACCAAGCCCCTACTAACATTTATGAATGCTTTTACCCAGCCAGAGAGTGAAACAAATCAGATTTAGGTTACACAACAACCACTCTTTCACATGGATTAACATTTTTTGTATGACCAAAGTACCATGAGACAATGCATCAACAAGCAACACAAGGATTACAATTAGGCAACTCCTTCCAAATCATACTAGAATACTTTATAAAGCTAAGTGTAAAAGGCATTTACATACAATTAAAAAAAAAAATCTATAAATAAAAATAACTATAGCTTGAGACTCCACATTGTGAAATGCATATTAAAAGAAATTATTATTCAATGTTGGTGTTACATTTAAGTTTAAAAAAAATAATAATATAATCTACTTAAAACATTTATCTTTTCTTAAATTATCCACACTCCAGTGATGACCCATGTGAATCAAAAGCTTGGGCCATATGCATTTTGGCCAATTTATCTACACATGTTAATGACACTTTACAAGAGAATATTTGAACATTAGGAAAAAGATCAAATATAATAGACCCAAAATGCCTATTTTTTTAACAAGACATGTTTAAAAAAAAAAAAAAATAGAATAATTCCTACCCAAATACACCAAATAATTCAAGATGTATATAAATAATTGAAAATTGCTAATTAAAAGAACCAGTAATTACAAAAGTACCAAAACTCATAAGATTGGAAAGCTCTGAATGAATTATTTTAATTATAATTACTGAATTTATAATAATTATTTTGACAATTTTTTTTACTTATGAAATAAGAAATCAGTTTTCAACTGTGGACAATTAGTGTTTATAAAAAATTAATATATTTTATCACTGTATTTCATATTCTAAATGATTTATATTTTATTGACTAATAAAAAAATGTCTCACAACAAAAAACAAATATAAAAAATTCACATTTCTAATCTAGCAAATAAATTGTGAATATTTATTTCTTTGTTTAAATTTCACTAATTTAACTGAATAAGAAGTTTACAAGATTAAAAGAAAAATAGAAAATGGATAGGGGAACATCTAACTCTACTACAATTATCTTTTCTTTTTTCAGATATCCTCATAATTTAATGGCAAAATTTAAGCTATGAAAGCAATTTTCCTTTTGGCCACAGATATTTTTAATTTCTTCCATTCAATTGTAATAATCTATAAAAAGAAATTGTCTTATTGGAACTGTTTTTGTTTAAAAAAAAAAAAAGGGTGAAAAAATGTTTCATCAAATCAGAAGAAAATATATATTCTTGCTGCTGCTCTACACTTAAAAAACATTGTAGCAGACAGACATATTTGGTTAAAAGCCAGGCAAATTCTAGGAATTAGTAAATCAGGTGGGGTTAGCGAGTATTCAGTATGTAATTTCCCCACTCCCCTCAAAACAGCCAATGAAATTATACATCTACTTAAATATTTTAGTGCTAAACTGATTACTTACTTTGACAGAAGTATTTAAAAATTGTTGTTGGCCAAAAATGTTATGTTTTTCAGAGAATATTACTTATTCTCTGCTGCTAATATATTCCATGTTAGATTTATTTTGTCACCTCATTTTTTTTTTAATATTAGATAAAATAATATTAAAACTACTATGACTAAAAAAAACAGTTTTCAATTTACAGAACTAGGCACATTCAAATCAAAATGTCCATTTTTACTAATTTTATTGTTCATTTATTGTCAAAGGAAGAATAATTCAGTTTTTGTAGGTCAACAATAATTGGACGAATGAAGGTTATTTATGAATTAGCAAGTGTTGGAAAGAAAATCATGTCACATTTGAAAATAGCAAAGAAACAAATGCTTCTTTGGTTTTAATTGATATATTTAATGACTACCTTAAAAGCTACCCTATTGAGCAGCATTTAACCTATCTCCTGCAGAGAACTCTTGACTGGGCCTTCATCACACAATAGGTAAGGAGTAGATGCTAATAAGCAACACTAAACTACAGAAGAACTTAAAATTGATCACTGCATTTAAGTATTGCATTAATATTTAAGCTTACCTTTTAAAAGTTCAATGATAATTCTTCTGCTACCACTTAATTTAAAGACAATTTGATATATGTAGGTCCTTACTTTCTGTACAAACATTTTTATTTCATAGGTGATTTTGACTATATTTTGCAATTAATTTCGATTATTCCTAAACTTTATTTCCAAGTTATAAAAATTGTTATTGTACAAAAAAATCTCATTAAAAAAAAAAAAAAAAATCACAATAATGAAAACTTGGGAATCCAAAATTTCAGGATTGTGGGCCCGGATCCAGCCCAGAATGTTTTTTTAATTTGCTCACAGATTCAGCCTGATTCCAAAATGGTATGATATGTTGGGCTACAGTCTCTAGAAGTAAAGTTGAAAAAGTGACACACACTAACATTCACATTTATTGTCTAGATGTTATTAGCTTGGGAAGAAAGTCCTGCTGCATATGAAGATGTGAAAGAAACATTTTTCTTTGGTCTTAATTGATATATTTAATGACAATATTAGGTTGGGAAAAAGTCCTGTCACATTTGAAGATAGTGAAGAAACAAATGCTTCTTTTGTCGTAATTGATTTATTTAATCAAGATAAAATTTCCCTTCATTATCGATAACATAATCTCATCCATTTGGCAAAGTATTGATTCCTCAGGCATAAAATTCTTCAGATTTCAATGTAAAGAAACAATATCAATTTTAACCTCTTCACAATTAACAAACTGTTTTGCCTCTAAAGAAATTTTTAATCATCTGAAAAAAATTGATCATCAGATGAAACACTTTATGATAAATCCTGGTGTAGTGATGGGGTTCTCCTTTTTCAGTAAGTGCTAACCGGCGTTTTAATTGAATAAGATTATAGAAAACCCACTTTTCATTACTGGTGATGATTCTACCCAGAAAAAAGTTTGTTAGAAAGTTTAGTCTTCAGTGATGAGCTCAGGACAATTGTTTTGCCAATTTTCATGCAGTTTTCTTTTGAAATTTTCTTTAATTAATGGTTTTCAGAAGCTCAGTATTGACAGAATTTGTTCATCCAGATCTAAGGCAATCTTTGAGAGAAAAGTTTCCCAAAATGAAACTGGACAAAATATCTTTGGCATATCCAGACACTTAAAGCTTCATTTCCATAGACAAAATGAAAATTTCTTGCCACTTCTATTGTTGAAGATTCATTGATTCATTTTTTACGGTTTTACGCCTTTGCAGGTTATTTAAAGCCAGAAAATATTTTTTATATTGTAAGAATATTTTTGAAGATAATGATTTAGTGATATAAGTCTTACTAATTAACCCATAGCTGGGGCAGAAGATATGGATTCCTACCTTTCCCTAGGGTATTTATGTGTAAGTAATGAACCCAACTGAAATTGGAACAATTTTGAGCAATTATCCATCATACTATTTTTGCATCCAAGCTTACAGCACAGGGTATTCTCAAGCGGCCACCCATCTAGGTACTGATCAGACTCAACATTGCTTAACTTCGGTGATCATACAGGAACCAATGTCAATGCTATATGGCCATAAGCCCATTGCTGAAGTGCTCATTTTTTAATTCATATAGCAATGTCTGATAGGGATCTGATCTAAATTTATTTAAACTGATAAAATCAATACAAAATTTACCCACTCTGATATGAAGTAATCTGCAAAGAAAGGAAAAAAAATAATTAAAATGTAAAAATTAATGTTTTTTTACCATAAGTATTGAAATGGTTTCTGCAAAGTATTCATGCCAAAAATGCAACTGGACTTTCTTCCAACCTAAAATACTTTCTTCTGGTTGATTAAACATTATTCAAAGCAATATTATTAAGCCTTACTTCACTTTTAGGCTTCCTCCTGTTTCTCTTGTCTTTAATATATCCTGTGAGTGTTAAATTCTCTAGACCCTCTTCCCTTCAGCTCTCACTTTCTGATTGTAAATATCAGATTACTTGTAATTCCTATTTTCTTTAAAACTTCCTCATTGATCACATGTTCTGTCTATGTTGTTCTTAGTATTTGTTGCTGTCACTTCAAGTCCTCCTTATCTGTTAGAAGATTGTCCAAAAGTCATTGCCATATACAAGATTAGATATTACATAGCAGTTCAACAACCTTTTCTGTTTCTAAGGATATCTCAGTACTTTGTTCAATTTCCAGAAAACATCTTTCATTATTCTTATGCACCTTTGGTGTTTTGTCAAATTTTCCATCATCTGTTACTACACTATGACGATAATTACATTTCTGTATCTGCTTGATTTTGACATCCCCAACACATAGTTCATATGTTGGATTGTCTCTTTGGCTGACAACCATGCATTCTGTTTTTTTAGAGTTAATAGTACTTCTTGCATTCCTATACTATCATGTCTAAGACTCTTTTTTTTTTTTTTACTTAAAGTTCTGAAATACTTTTCATGTTTTAATTCTCAAAGCCAAGTAAGGAAACTTATTACTTGCTATCTCAATGTTATCTGAAAATGATTAGAAAACAGAATATTTGATGAACTCTGTGTTCTATCCATTTAGAAAGTTATTCTCAATATTGGTCCTTGGGCCCAAAATTGGGCCTGAAGGACATTTTAAATGTATCTGGAGACATCAGAAGTATATAAAGTAAAGGACAAATTTACTGTCTATAGTACCATTTATTGTTGACTCCATTTGGCTACAGTGTTTAAAAAGGTTGACTATCATCATAGTTCTTATTTTTTGTGATTTGAGAGTTCATACAGGGTTGTTGTGTTCCTTCTGGTTGATGGAAATTATTTGTTGCATTCATCCTTCTTCTCTTCTGGAGTTGTACGTCAGGTTAAACACACAGCCAATGAATCACCAACCCTTGCGTGTCGAACTGCTACCTCAAATCAAGTTCCGTTTTCACTGCGGCATCTCTAGTCTTGTATGTGGTTTTCTTCTTTTTTGGGGGGCTGACACATCCATGTTTCCCCGTTTGATTTTTGGCGGGACGTGTTGTCATTGGTTGATTTTTTATGACATTCACTAACCCACATAAACTAAGTCTGGATTCATGTCCGTTACCAAGGATAGGAACAATAGAAGGAAGAAAAGGAAATATATAGAAGAGAGGGAGAGAGAGTTTTCTTTGTCACTCACTTAGTAAAGAGGAAAGTGTATATTTTCGTATGGTGTTATTACTACCTAATCCTACTACACCTATGTCCACACTGCTTGTATTTATACATATTAGTTCGTTACAAAATAAATGTGCCATCATTTAACCATCAAAATGCCATTAAAGTTATTTTCAATTTGTTATATTCTAAATGACGATTATTTTCATGCTTGAACATGGAAATTTAAAAAAAATATTATTGCATTCACATTGCCACTTGTGTTTTGTTGTCATGTTTCCATGGAGCGGAACACTAATATAAAGTTTTAGTCTAAAGTATAAACAATTTGAAAAAGTTATGTTCTTACCATGTCCTTGCAGCCATATGCAAATACAACAAAATGCTTATAGACATGAAGACTATGTCACCTCCCTACTCTTGTAAGACTCTCTCTTTAGTTACAACTCAAGGGTTGGGCAGTCAATGTAGTTGACATTTGTGATACAGAAGGAATAAACCACTGCATTCCTTCTTAAATACTCAACTATGACTTATCTGATATTTAATAGTAACCATTTGATGAAAATGCAACAGAGTCCAACTATTACTACAATAATCTTTTGAAGAAGTGGGAGTATTTGGAGTAACAGGCTTTTTACATGCACTGCAAAAAAAAAAAAAAAAAAATTATCTCTCTTAATTAACCCAATCTCCTCCTTCAACCTTTCTTGTTCCTCTATACCATTATTATCTACATTTATCTCTTTACCCTTGTTCATATTTTAATGCTTCTCCTATATTTCCTCATTGCGTATAGGAATGTGCAAAGTAATTTTTAGGGAACTTGGGCAAAAGTTGAAGTGAAAAAAAAAACTGACTTTAAAACCTTCTTTTTAAAGAATAACAAAGCTCTATTGAGTGAAATGTTAAATTCAGAACACAGTTCTGTTAGACAGAAAAGCTTTTCTTTTTAGCTTTATATTTTACTTTCAAGAGAATTATTCTGGAACAATTTTACCCTCAAAACAAGAGTGTATTTGCCTTTTCTCTCTAGCATTTAAAATAATCACAATCAAATATTGAGTACAATTTATCTATTAGATCATTTTATAAAAAAGTCTCCTAGCCAAATTTTAGTAATAAAATCTCATAATCCTAACTGCATATCAAATTCATAATAAAATTTAAATTAATTGCCTTAAGATTCATTATTTATTATATTGATTTCATTGTTGTAAAAATTAAACTTCATTTCATAGACATATTTTATGAATTTCTTTGCTTGTCAGGAAATCAGAGTAATAAAGTTTTAGCTTTTTTTTTTTTTTTTAGATACTGCCACAATATTTTAAGATCCCGATGATGAGTGCCTAACATAAGATAATCAATTTTAATGGACAGAGATTTCTCATCTTTATGCAAAATTATAAACACTTCAAGCTTTGGTGTTAGAGAGAGCATGAACTTGTAACTTTGTTTCTTCTTATTTAACAATCCTAGTGTCAAATCTTTTATTTAACATATTTATGATTTTTAAGTTTATAGTTAAATTCTTTAAAGATTAGGTTTTGGTTAAAGAGCTTCTAAAGAAAAAAATATAGGGGGTGGCTGTGAAAGATTACATCTTTGTGTAAAAAGCCTCACCTATTTGCATTTGTAAGTATCTCCCATAAATATAAATAGTAAAACTGCTATGATAGGTAATGGTTAAAACTTTCATTATTCACAATATAATTGTTTTGTTTCATTTTATTAATTTCTCAGTTCCAATGCACAAAGTTTTAAGCTATACAGTTATGTCCAAAGAACCAACAAAATTTGACCTCCAAACTGTTTGGCTTGCCAACTTTTGCTTATTAATTTCTTTTCATCCCTCCAAAATTATTTTCATCAAGTGATTTTGAAAATACTTTTAGTTTTCATTTCTTTATACTTTAAATATTATATTTAGTAGATACACATGAGTAGACATCAGTTCTTTAAACAGTGTAAATTTATGTCTAATGGTCTGTGCATTCAAGACTTAATAAAGAAATTGTGCTTTCTGGCAGGATTCAAAGCTCTTATAGGGGAAAACTACAATTAAACCCTGTGTTGTAAAAATCAAAAATTATTGATGTATGCCAGACAAATTATTAAAAAAAGATGTTAAAACTTATTGGCAAAAGAAATATCTATGTATATTCCCATGAAATCTCTCTACAACTAAAATACATAAGCATTTAAAAAATAATTTTCTAAATGTTAAGACATAATATTGATAGTTTATAGAAATATAAAAAAAAAATCCAGTTGGCTACTCCAAAGATTGCTGGAAAGATTATAAAGTGTTATTTGTAGGATTTGAAAGGCTATTGCAGATGTTTGAAAAGTTGATCCAATAGCTATTCAATATCCTATTTATAAAAACATCTACATAACAGTTCATATAATTGAAACTGAAGTTTATCAAAATATTATTCAATTAAAGATTATAAATTTCTGTTTCTAAAGACTAAATCAGTTTTGTATTTTACAACATATACAGAAGAATCAGCAATATTATTGGTCCTGATCTAGTAGTTCAACTTCAGTCATTTACCCATTCTTCAGTCATTGTAAGGTTGCCTCTGTGCCTTTTCATAAATAATTTCATGGCAAGTGTTCGGATGAGTTCTTTGGTATAGTACCTAGACTTTTTGAATTTAAATACAGTAATACACTGACATCAAAATCTCATCAATTTACAGTTGAGCTGGATAGATGTAGCCATAAATTCTATGCTAACAGTTTATTTTCCCACACTTCTTGCTTGTGGAACTCCCTTCTGGCTCTATGCTTTCCAGTCAACTTTAATCTGCAAAAATTTAAATGCAATGTCAATCACTATCTACTGTCCTCCTGATTACTCTTTTCTCTTCCTACTCATTGCTTTCTGTTGCTAATTCTTCCACACCCTGTAATCACTTGTGCCTTAATGGCTTTATTGCCTTGCATTGAGGGTGATACAGATTAAAAAAAAAATATGTAAGAGAAGGAAAACTAGTTTTTAAGATTTAAGAAAATACTGTCTTCACATTGTGCAAGTGCCTTTTGATGACTCCTTAAAGAACAATAGCAAATAACAGAGACCCCATCCTTGAGGACTTTCAACAATTAAAATGAATAGCACATGTAACATGAAGAGAGAGTAATGGCATAATCAAGATGTTGATGTTCCACACTACTTCAAACAAAAAGTTAGGAAGCAAACACCCATCAATATTGGAAGGAGCAATAACAGCTACTAGACTTGTGACTTATTTTCCTGAAAAATTGTTTTAAGAAAAAGATTTTATAAATTTCAACTGAAAGTAGCACTGTTTACACTGCAGTCAATGAATACCAAATATTTCCTTATAAGGAAACAACAAATATTACCATTACATGGCCATTCACTTGATTATTTCCATTCTTTGTCTTACACCATTTTATCAAAA